TACTTTCTTTGATTACTTAATACCCAGAGGTAGATCAAAATAACAAACAGAAAATGCATTTCCACTTCATAACCACCAGTTTTGCACACCACCCCACAGGAACCACTTACCCTAGAGCCATGTATTTCAAACTTTTATCAAAATTTTATTTCATCATAAATGATTGATTAATACTAAAGAGCAGATATCAATGGAAAGCATTAACTTATTTTCAGACTAAGTACCCCCCCCCCCAGTACCCCTGACCCAGGGGCCCTGAAATTAATCAGTTTAAAAGAGGAATCTTTCTTCATTGTAAATGAATAGATTTTAAAAAGAATTCATGCATCATTTACTGTATAATCAATAGAGCCCTGGCCTAACACCAGAACCCCAGACCCAGGGGCATGAATTTCACAATTTTGGAAGAACCATTCTTGCTCATCATGACTTTGTACTTGGCTAGTTTATTTAATACCCAGGAAGCAGAGAAGAACATATTCAAAGAATTTATGCATTTATGCATTTTCACTATATAATCAAAGAGCCCCAACCTTACTCCAGAACCCCTGACCCTGAAGTCATGAAATTCACAATTTTGGAAGAGACACTCTTGCTCATCAACGAACGACGGACAAGGACAAAAACAGATAGCAATAGGTCACCTGTGTGACTCAGGTGACCTAAAAAAAGTTTGTCATTTATCCTATTTACCCCAAGTTCAATGTCATGATGTGAAAAAAATGGTAAGGTACAAGTAAGTTATAAATGAAAAATGCGAGTCCTAGCAGCAGCCATTCTAAAGTTAATAGACAAGATTAATTGTTTTGCAAATGTAGACCTAACTATATGGTCTTGAGGTCAAAATGTGGGTACCAAGGAAAGACCTTTTCACAAAATGTACCTGTGTGATGTTTGACAGTTCTGGCTTCAATCGGTCAAAAGTTTAAGCTTTTAAAACATATTTCAAACTCTCTATAGTTAGAAACACCAAATATATAGGGAGCTGAAGAAAAGTGTGAACGCAAGGAATATACATGTTTATAAAACCATAATCCTAACCGTTTATAAGTATTAGGCAAGGTTAAAGTTTGAAAAATCTTCTTTTTTTTTTTGCAAAAGGTCAAACGCCAAAGTCAAATATACTAGCACTCAAAAGGGCTTGCCAAAGGAATTTAAAACATAAAATATGAAACAGCACCTAGCATCATCCATGTCAGAGTTACGAGCAAGGTTTAAATTTTTGTAGATTGACAGGCATTGAATCGTCGATAATGACAACAGCAGAACAGACTATCTAAATTGCCGATATTTATTTTAAAATGGGATTTGCCTTAAGAGTCCTTTTATTAAGGTATGATTTTGCATACACCTGGAACTCTGTTTCAGTGATTATTTACACGAATGTGTTTAGACTTGACACCCAAATAATAAAAAAAATAACTTAAAAAAGATAACACCACATTGACAACCCTTTACATAACACGTTCCTTATGCACAACAGCTCGAAGAAACTGTTCCCCTTGCATATGCTTACATGCAAAAATTCTTACCGTTCGTGCATTAAACAGATAAACATAAAATACAAGAGGGTAATACAGGGATAATTTTTTCCAATGCACATGACTACTTAACAGATGGTTTTCTAAATTTATTCCTCCAGACATTTCCATGATCTGCGAGTCAAATTCTTAGCGAGATAATAGGAACCAATGGAGTGAACATTGTTTTCTTTCATGGTAGAACCCTTAAGTGAATGCTTAGATTTACATAACCAGAATGTTGTTTTTTCATGTATATTGAAAATGCACTTTGAATTTTGTCTTTGAAAATCAATTTTTTTGCCTGCCCTTTGTCAAATATATCAGAATGTAGACGTTAAAGCAATGTTACTTTATATAACAAAATATTAAAATACAAATGCTCATGAAGCTTTAAAAAAAAGCAGATGACCATATACCCGTATTGAAACACTTCATTTGCTTCCTTGGTCCAACATTTTATACTGAAAATGAGACCTTTCCTGTCACGTATAAAAACAATAAACATTATTGAATTTCTTTTTTTCTAGAGTATATACTGAGAAAAACAAATTCAAAACCGTTTTCAATGAGTAAATTTATTTACGAAAATTATGAAATTAATATCATGAAACTATTATCTTTTACTTTAGTTCTTAAGAAAATAAAATGTAGTACCAAACTTTCTTTTATTACCTGTATTTAAAAAATCTTTAAAAGCTTATTCTGACATAATCCACAGCACATGTACTGGCAGAAAATTGTTTTTCTTATCAAGCGCTGTAAAACTTTGAATTTTTATTCAAATAGAAAGGCCTTATCTAAACGCCATATCTATTATTGCTTAAGTTTGAGGAAAACATTAAAATCAATGCTATTTATGAAACTTTAACTTTATTCTTACATAATTCATAAAACATGCATACACCTGCCTAATTGATATAGGTCCCAGTATATCGGTACATTAGACGAGATCAAGGTAACAGAGATCGATCTCAAAACAAGAGGCCCATGGGCCACATCGCTCACCTGAGTAACTTGGATGATACAGATCTTTTTTGAAGATTTGTTCTATATATTTCTATGTAAACTTGGATTCCCTATTGTGGCCCCGCCCTACCCCTGGGGGTCATGATTTTAACAATTTAATATCTACACTACTAAAGTATGCTTCCACATAAATTTCAGCTTTCCTGGCCCAGTGGTTCTTGAGAAGAAGATTTTTAACAGATTTGTTCTATATATTTCTATGTAAAACTTGGATTCCCTATTGTTGCCCCGCCCTACATCCGTGGGTCATGATTTAAACAATTTCATATCTACACTACCAAAGGATGCTTTTACATAAATTTCAGCTTTCCTGGCCCAGTGGTTCTTGAGAAGAAGATTTTTAACAGATTTGTTCTATATATTTCTATGTAAAACTTGGATTCCCTACTGTGGCCCCGCCCTACCTCCGTGGGTCATGATTTTAACAATTTCATATCTACACTACCAAAAGATGCTTCCACATAAATGTCAGCTTTCCGGGTCCAGTGGTTCTTGAGAAGAAGATTTTTAAAGATTTATTCTATATATTTCTATGTAAAACTTGGATTCCCTATTGAGGCCCCACCCTACCCCCGGGGGTCATAATTTTAACAATTTAATATCTACACTACTAAAGTATGCTTCCACATAAATTTCAGCTTTCCTGGCCCAGTGGTTCTTGAGAAGTAGATTTTTAAAGATTTGTTCTATATATTTCTATGTAAAACTTGGATTCCCTATTGTTGCCCCGCCCTTCCTCCGGGGGTCATGATTTTAACAATTTAATATTTACACTATCAAATGATGCTTCCACATAAATTTAAGCTTTCCGGGTCCAGTGGTTCTTGAGAGGAAGATTTTCAAAGATTTGTTCTATATATTTCTATGTAAAACTTGGATTCCCTACTGTGGCCCCGCCCTACCACCGGGGGTCATGATTTTAACAATTTAATATCTACACTACCCCAGGATGCTTTCAGATAAGTTTCAGATTCCCTGGTCCACTGGTTCATGAGCAGAAAATTTTTTAATGACCCCACCCTATTTTTGTATTTTCTTGATTATAGGGTCTTGGCCCTTGATTTTAACAATTTAAATTCCCCTTTACCCAAGGATGCTTTGTACCAAGTTTGGTTTAAATTGGCCCAGTGGTTCTTGAGAAGAAGCTGAAAATGTGAAAAGTTTACAGACGGACGGACGACGGACAACGGGTGATCAGAAAAGCTCACTTGAGCTTTCAGCTCAGGTGAGCTAAAAACTTCAATTAACAATACAATTGTGTAAACAAGGCATAAACACAGACCTCTGGGAACTCCATAGGAAGGATCAGGTGCCAAGGAGACGGAAGCATCCCCTGCTGACTGGTCACACCCAACATGAGCCCTTTGTATTGATTAAGTAGACTGATCATTTAATTGTCAATTCTAAGGCAATTGTTTTGTAAAGCACTCTTGTATTGGCTAATGCACTAATGTTTGAAGCAGTAAAACGAGCATTAACAAGCGTGGAAGCTTTTTCATTGTGACGTAATAATAGAGCGACGCAAAAATACAATGCTCCGTGACGTATTTCATGTAACGAAAGTAAACAAAATTAGACGTAAACAACAAACAAAATGCATGGATTGCATTAGAATGGGAATAACTAAACTTCTAATTTGGTATTTGCGACCGTTAATGCTTACGCTTACGCGTCGCCGGTAAAACTCAGTTTGCGACCGTTAAATCGGCATTAAAGGTCGCAAATACTAAATTACAAGATAATTATTCCCTAATTTTAGCATTAAAAAAAACTGAAATTGGTATCACGCAAAGTTGCCAAAATATGACCCATTTATGATTAAAGTAATATCAACCCATAGAACGTACGAAATGCTGATTTTAATTGAGGTTAAAATCTATGTAACGCAAACTTTTGTGTGAGTAACCTGCTTCAGTTAAAAATTTATCATGTTCTGATCAACCTCTTGATATTTAGGAAATGTAACACTATAATGCAGGTGATACTAGTAGTGAAATATTACTACATATATTACGGAATGTTGATAATATAAAAGCTGAAGTATAATCTCGTTTGCCGAAAAATGTATTTGTTAGTTGGTCTCTGTCGTCTATAATCAATAAAACATCCCAATGTGAAACAGAAGTGGCAGTCTCCGTGCACTGGAATTAAATGAGTCGATTTATAAATGGAAATAGCTATTGGTAATTGATAAACGTCATCGATATACATATATATTAATGATGTCGAGCGGAAGGCCAAGGAAAGTGTTTTCAATTATAGACTTTTTAATAAATTATACCTCATAGAAACAGGTTGACTGATAAAGTAGAACAATTACTGCTGAAACATAAAAGTATTCAAAGAGACACGACCCTCATTATATACTCTTGTCTACTAATTTTGAAAAGTCATAACAAAGTATTAATATTCACTTTTTTTATTCCATTGTTTGTACAAACGACCCTGATGCATAAGACTGATTGACTAATTTCCATGCTTCAATACATAAATATTTTCATTTTATAATAAATATTAAATCATTGCACTAGTATTATCAGGTTTACCGGGCTCAATAAAAGCTTAAATATGAAATATAACCAAATAAAATCAACTATTGAATAGAGAAATTAAAATTTGAACAATTAATGCATAAAATTGCATCTCGTATCTTTATTAATTATTTGTTAAGATTTGATTATTCGATTTTAAATCTCTTGAAATATCCTGAACTGTAATACTAGTACAATTACATACAATTTAAAGATGTGTGTAAATTAACTATATGTACATATACAGGCAGTGACATGTTTCTAAAAAAAACATTAAATTTGTTTTACTCGAGCTCATCAATACTGCTGGAAAATGAATACACTAAAACAATATATCTGTCTACGAATTAATATTCGTGTTGAATTAAAATTTTACAATAGGGCTTTCCCACAGCTGTTTCGACATTATACAGGAATCAAAAACAACCTTCTTGGGTTACTAACATTCTACATGTTATTATGCTGGCCTCTCAAGGAACACATAAATATATTATTCCTTGAGGTAGAAAAATATTTACATATCTCTGAGTACTAATACCATGATTGCAAATCAATATCATATTCCATAGGAAATAACATAGTCAGGTCTTATTGGATTTAGTCCCTTGTAAGTTCTTAAAGGGGAAATGCCTTCTATTCCTGTACACAGTACCATAGTATGGCTTCACTAATTCCGCCACGTCATCCCTAATGAGGACCCCCTTACATCGACCCCGCCGCAGATCCTCTAGGTAACCCGTGTATCCTAACTGTCGCATGAGAGAGTGCACGCTCCCCCAGTAATGGCGCTCTGTGATCCGCCTTAGGCAGACGAACTCGGGGTTGTTTTTAGCGATGAGAGAGATCGTATCGATGTCGGCCTCATTGCACTTCTCGTCAAAGTCTCTGTAAAAAAAATCGATCTCCATAAAATCGGTCTCATCTGAACAAGAAAAATGCATGGTTAATTATATGTATACATGAATATGGACACAAATTTACCTTTTTATTCAGAAAAAGCTTACGATATACAAGAGTACCAAAACATTCATTTTCCCTACAATGAGGTCAACTGTATAGTTCAAAGAGTAAATAAGACAGATCTAGAGCTGCGAACAGGTGCATTAGAACAATGCTCCATTCTACCTTTTATAACTGACCAGATAAAACATCAGCAGTCATACATGTAGAAAGCGCTGCATGGTAGTAAAAGAGAGGTGCATGTTATACAGATGTGTAAAGTGACAATGAATTCTTCTCTATGCCTTTATATCCAAAGCTTTCGGTTTGTTACCAGAAGCTTTACATCATATGTTTATGCTTTTTTCAAGCTTTTTGCTTCAAGTGCCTCCTAAAATTATACACATTTATGTGTCTGTATGCTTCTGCACTTTGGCACAAATATTCATAGTATCACTCTGAAAGCATCATAAATAATTCACAGCGAAATATTTTCAAAAGTTGTTTTCTTGTGGTAAGAATCTATCATTCTCTGGGCCAAAGTTTTGTTTTAAATCCTCGTTATAATCTAGCTTTACAAATTGAACCTATTCGATGTCTTACCAAAATATATGATAGCTGTTTAATTTGACTTTTGAAACATTTATAGACTTATTAATGCAAATGATGCCGCATTAGTGGCCCCTCATATACCAGATGTGTAGTAGTCAATGCGTTTACTGTTGCAGTGATAAATTCCTTTGTATCAAAAATAAACTTAGACCTATCTTTTATCATTGGAGAAAGACAAAAGATGGAATTTAGCTAACAGTTCCATCATAAGAATATCTAGGTCAAGTGCTGCTTCTGGTACAATCAAGCCATTCTTGACAAAGTGATGACCCTTTGTTTCAGGAAATTCCTTTTTTTAAGTTAACGTTCATTTTCTTTGCATAATTTGAAAAAAAATTAGCAAATAGGTTTATCATAAAAATATATAGGTAGTTCTTTTTGGGTACAATCCAGCCATTTTAGATTGAGCTATGTTTTGTGGAATTTATTAGGTTGATTGATTTTATACTGTTTAACGTCCCTCTCCAGAATATCTAACCAATATGGAGACGTCACCATTGCCGGTGAAGGGCTGCAAATTTAGGCCTATGCCTAAAGAACTACCTATATATATATATATATAGAGAGAGAGAGAGAGAGAGAGAAGAGAGAGAGAGAGAGAGAGAGAGAGAGAGAGAGAACGACGAAGAACAATGCAGTCTATAAATAGGTCTAGGTCGTGAATGTGCGTGAAGAAGCACGCCCTCTTGTTGGAGAAAATTATGCAAATCTTTTTTCCCAAAATTCCGCTTTACGAAGCGCACTTGGACATGTAGCAGTTTCATCCTAACGTAACTAGTCAGCCCGGGGGCTGACTAAAAAGGTGTAGTAAATCAAAGCTTTCTCAGTTGTTTGCACAGAACTCGAAAGATCCGATTCCTAGCTATGAAAAATGTAGAGATGTCCAAATATTACATGAATAATCTAGGGAGAACAAGTTTGGCGCGGTTCCTGACCTCTAGATTTTCTGTGTAATTTCGGGACGCCTCTACCTTGTTCCACCTTGAATATTTATCCTTTTCAACAGCTGCTTGAAGTGATGTCAGCTGATATAAAAAAGATTATTTTTTGACAGAAGGATTGTCCGGGTTCAACTTGATCTCTCGAATTTCATTTCAGAATAATCTTTTTTAGAAGCGTACCAAAGTAATTCTATGATTAAAAACTTGGTATAAATAGAACAGATGGTATCACAGATCCGGTATATTTTGTAAATTAAACCAAGTGCAATTTGTTAATTTAAAAACGGAACTAGAGCCCATGCAGCTACAATCAACATTACCCGATTCTTAGTGTAGGACTAGTATAACTATGAAACCGTAGCAAAGATGAACAATAAAAAAAATATTATATATGAGAGCACTCACCCCGCCTAATTAAGCTTTGTTTGGCTTGCCCCCCCCCCCCCCCCCAACAAAAAGGTACACTGAAAACACGCACGTACATTTACGGGAAGGATGAATGGGGGCGGGGTTAAGTAATTATTTTTGAAGAATCAAAATTTGGTGTTATATTCGAGATATGAACGGACCGTAAAATTCACTTTATTCCGAAACATTATGTTTTCCAGGCCATTCAAAAACGATTTTAATATTTGCCTACTTTCACCTCAAAGTGCCGACCGCTTTGCTTCAGGAGATTTTTTTAGCTATTTTTTTCATTTATGCATGTTTTATAAACTTGGGTTACTTATGGTCGATGTTCAAACTCACAACCATCAAAACACGGAACGAACGCTCTTCCGACTGAAGTACTCTGAGGGTATTTTAAATGAAGTTAGAAAGAAAAAATCAGATACTATAACAAGTTATCATTATAGTATGGGGATTTTATGGCATTTTAATTGAAGATTCGGGGGTATATACTTTTTTGTCGCGTCCGTCCAGGTGTCTTTCTGTCTAGGGTCTTTTTGTATATGTCTGTCTGTTTTTCCGCAAAAACTTTAACATTGCCCATAACATTTTATTAAGTGGAGCTATGATTTTCATATTTCTCATGTGATTTCCTTATGACAAAGCCTTTCCTCTGGTACCACTATAAAATTTGACCTTGACCATGGAGTTTGATACTCTTTCACACAAAAAATTTTAACTTTTATCATACCTTAGGATGGTAAATACTATGACTTGAAACATAGCCCACAATATGTTTAAATATACCTGTAATTTTTGTGACAAGACCTTCCACTGGACACTACCAACGTTGACTTTTTGACCTTTGGTTGACGTTCTTTTAGAACATTTCTCCTCAGTCAATTTTTGAACTGTATGAGCTAGAGTTTTCATACCTTACATAGGTTATCTTTGTGAAAAGACTTTTCACTGGATACTAAGATTTCAACCCTTTACCTTGATCTTAGAGCATGAATACTTTAAAAAAGAAGAGGTCCACAGGCCTTATAGGTCACCTGAGCATCATATAACAACTTTCCAACAATTAAATTTAGTTCATGTTTAAAACAAAATGCAATGAAATTCACACTTTTTAAAAAGACATAAACATTTCTATATTTAGGCATTTTAAGCTTAAAATAGAAAACAGAAATCCCTGAAAATAATATGCATGGTAGTTATAGGTGTCGGACCCAGTCTCTGACATTAGCATATTGACTTTTATAGTATATTTCATAATTACATAGTACTGGCATCTTAATTTCTGCCCAAATTTCATTTTATTGATGTTTCTAAAATACATGTATGTCTATTTTTAGATACATGTTACTAAAAATAGCATTGAAATTTCATGAGGGCACACTACTAATACTGACGTTTGACGACACGCATATGATTTGAAAAATTCCGTAGACAATTTTTTTTATTCAACCTTAAGTTTCTCAAAAAATGCCAAATTTTCCATTTTTTACATTTTGAGAAACTATACCATTTTGCAGAACCGTTTTCTAAGAGTTGGGTCAATTTTGAAATAAATGGTTATATGCCCTGAATTCTTTAACAGTTGGTGTTGTCTTATGAAACAAAGATTTATATCTGAGTTCACTACATAAAGATATAAATGCATTCATATTTCCTCAATTTTCATGTTTTTGTTCCGTCAAAAATGGCCGAAAATGGCCAAATTAAATGGATCCATCTCCATGGCAACCTGATGCACGTGGAAAACTTTTAACACCATATTTGTTGGTTTTGTACCAATGTGCACCTGTGGTGCAAATTTCCTCAAAATCGGAGATATGTTGTTTCCAAGCCCTATAGTAATTTTTTTGGTGCTTACAGAGAATACATGTTAATATCTAGTTGTAGATCAGATTTACAAAGAGAAAATGCATTTCCATTTTTTTTAGTTGTGCAACCCACCCCACTGGAACCACTGATCCTGGGCCATATATATAAAAATTTTGGAAATTTTATCATAAATTCATTTCTTCAAAAATGGTACCAATTAATACCAGAGAGCAGATTTCAAGATTATATACCCCCCTCCAACAAATCATACCCCTGACCCAGGGGCCCTAATATTGACCATTTTGGAAGAACCACATTTCTTCATATGAAATATGTACTCCAGGAGCAGAGAAGAAGATTTTGAAATGAAATAATGCATTTTCACTATATAATCTAGATGTAGCCCCACCCTAGCACTAGAATCCCTGAAACTGGTGACATGAAATGTTTTCAATGTTGAAAAAAGCTTATTCAACATTACTTTGTACTTGGTAAGTTTATTTAAAGCCCAGGGGCAGAAAAAAAAAATTTATAAAAAAAAATATTATATATTTTCACTATATAATCAATAGAGTCCCGCCCTAACACCACAACCCTTTTATCTGGGGTTGTGAAATTCACAATTCTGGAAAAGACAGTCTTATTCCGTATAACTATGTACTTGGTTAGTTTTTTTCAAAACACAGTAGCAGAGAAGATGATTTTTAAAACAAAAATTATTCATTTTCACAATAGAATCTATATAGCCCCGCCCTAGCACCCCCGACCCTGTGGCCATGAAATTCCCAATTTTGGAAGAGACAGCCTTATTTCAACATAATAAAAGTACTTTGTTAGTTTATTAAATTCCCGGGAACCGAGAGGAAGATTTTTTTTCCAGAGAAATAATGCATTTTTTTTAAATCAAATAATCTATTTAACCAAGCCCTAGCACTAGAACCCGAACCCTCATTCTGAGACTACGAATTACACAATTTGGTATAGGACTCAATGCTGATTACAATCATGCCAACAATTTGACTGCTTGATGTTCTCGAGAAAAGAAGAAGATTTTTAAACATTGCATTAAATGTTGTGTTTTGGCCCAACCCCTCAGGCCCCAGGGGGACATGGACCATGACATTCACAAGTTTTATTCCCTACACCCATAGAACCTTTATGCCAAAATTATTTGAAATTGGATTAGCAGTTGCAGAGAAGACTGAATTAAGCTGAAAAAGTTCAAATGTTAACGCACGACGACTGACAAATACGGATAGCAATAGGTCACCTGAGTTATTTCAGCTAGGTGACCTAAAAATTTTACCATATTTTGAAGGGTTAAAGCTAGGGCTTTTATACTTCCCATATTCAATTCATGTGACAAGACCTTTCATTGGATACCAGCACCCTTGACCCTTTCACCTTGACCTTGGAATTTACCTCTTTTTTAAAAGTCTTTAACCTTGTCTATAATTTTTGAACGTTAGGGCTAGGACTTTCGTACTACACATATGTAATCCTAGTAATAAGGCCTTACTTTAGAAACTAACAACTTTGACCCTTTACCTTGATCCTGGAGTTTTACCTACCTTTCAAAATTTTACCCTTGACCATAACTTTTGAACATGTGGTTCCAGGGCTGTGATAATTGCAATTCTTGGGAGAGGAACCTTCTTTGAGTACCAATATATTAAATTTGCGTTTATGAAAAGTTTAATCTTCACTATGTTGTACGGGGACATCAGTGTTTCACAAACACATCTTGTTTTAATTTAATATGATAAGAAAGTTTAAAAATATCAAGCGTTTGTGACATAGAGGCATTTGTATCGGATCAGATCAGTTGTAAATTCGGTCAAATGAAGTTCGTGCAGTACTTGTACTCTCATATATACATTTATTTTCACCGTCGATAAAGAATTTGTAAGGAAAAGACTGTTAATTATATTATAAAATATACCAGTATATAAAAAGCAGTGAGACATCGCATAGGTAATTTTAGTGCTCAGTAATTACATGTATACACCTTTCTCGATGGGTTGGACTGTAGCTGTCTGATCCCCCAATCAGATCAGATTGGTATTTTTACTCAACTTTTGCAGTCTTTGAGTAGCCTCGTGAAAGAAACATTTTTCACGTCACAAAGGTTCCACAGAAGATTTCGAATCCGCCACGTAAGGATTACTCCTTCTTTTGCGACTCTAGAGCAAACGCTTTACTGCGACTAAGTATTTGTTACAAATAACACCATGTTTCTGAGCTTAAGTTTCGATATACAGGATATAAGTCCTAAATCTGGTGGCACGTAAAAACTACTGCGTCATTACTTATGCTCAGATAACATATAAATAGGTAAACTTTCGTTTATTTTAGAATACATTTGGTACAATGAAGGTAGGAATTTCAAATTACTTCTGTAACAGTATCTTATAGTAATTTGCTTAATCCAACTAAGTTGAAACTTTTATGTTTGTGGTGTTTTTAAAATTATAACACACACAGCTGTATAGCTCTGGGTCGATTTCTGCCCGTATTCTTCTGCTGTACCATACACTTTAGGTGATTTAAAATTTCATCAAATTATTTCTTTTAATTGAAGGACAATTACAATAGACAGAAATCTTTTAGTTGGTGATTTTAATTATTTAATTACTTGCTCGAATTTTAAGTTTCCATTTGAGTACCTGTATTCGTTTTTACAAACATTCTTACTTTTTAAGAAAAAAAAATTCCTCCAAATAAATCTACAATAACAATCTCAGATGCAATATCTTTTTTCTGTTACATTTAATATTTTGAGATTAAAGTGTTAATAATTATTTAGAAAAAAAATTAAATGAAAAGTTACAAAGATGGTGCAAAATATGAGAATGTTTTGCCATAAAAGTGTACCTTTAGGTATATGATAGTGAGTACTTGCCCCATTTTGTGTAATTAAACTAAAAAGTGTATATTTTCACGCAAACATTTAGGATTACATATTACTTTTAAAAAGTATCGAGCAGAGACCCAGTCAATTCGAAAAAGTATGAGAAAAATAATCATGTTTCCCTCCTTCATTTGCGCCTGCTATTTCATACATGTGTAAGCAAATAATTTCAGTCTAAATAGGAAAATTTTCTTAATTGTAGAGATTTTACGTTCAGTATATTTTAGTGTTACTAAAAAAAACAAAGAAAAAAATTGATATTAGTATTATGATTGAGACTTCAAATCCTGTTTGTCGCACTATAGACGTTTTGTCCATCTTTTTTATCCATCTTCTTTTAGAACATATATACAAAAGAGATAGAACCTTAACTCTTCCTTTAGTTTCATTCTTTATTAATGTTTCGGCGAATGGTGTTGCAAAGTATACATGTATATGAAAAAGATTCATTTTAGTTTCAGCTTTCTGTCGCAGTTTTTCTTATTTGGCAATTTGTGCTTTTTGAGTTGTTCATACAACCTGCAAACGGGAACTGGGGTGTTTCCAGTGATTACAAAGAAGAAAAAAAAGTTACCTTAAAGGTGGATAAGGATGGTAATATTACACTTAAAATTGAACCTGCGAAGAAAAGGAGATGCATTGTAAGTGAAAGTTAGCTTACATATATTTATCCCGCTTCAGACAAATTTGTAGATTAATGATAGAATAAAAGCTCTGAAATTCTCTTTATCAAAGAGTGAAATTAAAATTGGACATGCTATCCCGTTTGTAGCTTTGTTTGATATAATAATGACAGATTAATAGAGGTCAAAATATAGGAGGAAATAAATAATAATAATATAAATAATTTGTAATAATGAGATTTGATGTCCCCTCGCTTTCGTGAAAGAGAGAGGGGGCCAAAAATATCTGGGTTTACTAAAGAGGAACTGTCTACAAGTTAAAGCGAAATCTTTTATGTAATTTTTCAGCTCTACTGGGCAAAGACTACAAGAGCTTATGCAATAGTAAGATGTCTGTCGTCCGTCCATCTGTATGTCTAAAAAGTTGAGAGGTACAATATGCATTTTACGGAACGTGTGGGGTTTTCATCTGGCTTTGTGGGCTTATTATACAAAGATGATTTGAGAGGTTTCATTAGGAAATCACAAAAAGGTATATACTGTGGGTGATTATCTTTATTTGTGGGCTTAAGGTAGAACCTATGTCGGAGACGTCTTTGTCACAAGATTTTTAAACTTTTCATAATGATAAATTAGCTCTTGTTTATCAATCAGTTAAAAACACATGCCATGTTTCCTTGTTATTTAATGTAGTTAAATTAAACATGGAATGATAAATACATATTGCGACTTCACAATTTCAGTCATTTTAGGGGTACTTGTCATGCAAAGAAGACAACACAATCCAAGAATTGCTTCTTTAAACATAGCTGTTTTTATTGTTTATTAATTGAACAGTATCAAACAATATTTTCCGAGAATATATATTTTTTTTAGTTAATTGGCATAAAAGATAAGTTCACATTTTCATTTGTAAATATATATCAGAAGTCTTTGTCACAATGTTTTCAATCTTTAATATGATAAAGAACATACCCAAATGATTACAAAAAGTGATTAAAATAGACACTTTTCCCCTCTAACTTACGAGAGATGGGTTATTTACCGATACTAATATTCTTGACCTTTTTGCACTTACACGGATTTTATTATTAAATGACTGATAGGGGCTACTCTCAACTAAAAAATGTTTATAAAAATTGATCTTTTAATTTAAAAGATCATATCAAATAGATAAATTGTAATAAAACTCCAAGAAAATAAATAGTAACAAATAATTATGAAAAGGAATGTACATCATTTCATGATAGATATCACAAAATGTACACACAATCAACAACACGTACATCTTTGATTTAGACACATTTCATCAAGATATTACACTATTTAGTTGGAAACTGACGATTTCTTAAAATGATTTTTGCATTTCTTCAAAATAGTTACATACCATTTACATTATTACAGTTTGTTGTGTACATGGCGATTTCATCACACAATATACAGTAAAACTCGCTTAGTACGAACACGGATATTGCGAATTTACGGATATAGCGAAGTCATCTTGGATCCTCAACTATATAAATTTAATGAATTTCTTATACGGTTATAACGAATTACGGATATAGCGAAGTAATTTCAAAGGTCCCTGTGACTTCGTTATAACCGAGTTTTGCTGTAGTCTTGGATTTGTCCACTTAATTAAAGCCAAGATCTATTAAACGAAAGGTGGCTTCAGGTTTCTCTAATTCCAGAAATATATTGTCATTAAGCATTATATTAAAAATATATATTTAGTCGAATATTATGAAGATAATTTCGGCATGATTTTAAATTGAATTCTGTGAATTTCAAAATGCAGCATTTTCTAACCCTTCTATACTGAAGCTGTAAAGTACGGGAAATGACAATGAATTAATCATGACGTCATAATGGATCTAGCACAGGCTAAACACATTCACTAGTTATGATGTCATACGACGTAGGTTCTACGTTAAAGAATATATGTTATTTACAGTGTTAATATCAAGTCAACTTTACAAGCAACTTATTACCAATACCTAAAATTGTTACTGTTTATCTGCAGAACTGAAAAGGGAAATAGAAATAACATTTTACGACTACAAAATACCAGTAACAATGCAAAAATGTTCTTATTTGAGGATAACATACTCTAAAGTAAACAAACCTATCATGTTTTCACATAAAGATGATAGACAATAAAACCCCACAAAGTGTAAAACAAACAATTCCATGTTATTTAAGGAATCACTATCTAGTTTTTTGAGAGTATGCCAGGGCATCAAAAATAGTGGGAAACATGGCATTATTTGCATAACGGGCGAAGCCCGTTATGCTAAAATTATCCCATGTTTCCCACAATTGTTGATGTCCCTGGCATACTTTCAAAACTAGACAGTGATTCCTTATATTTCTATTTCATTGTGAAATGAAATTGTAGATTTAGACTTTTAAAAATGTAGACATTGGCTATAATCACACGAGGACTTCCATGCCAATTTTAATAGTCCTCGCCCACTGACGTCAAACACATAGGCAGCCGCATGAGATTTAAATGCATATTTGGCATCCCTAGCGTCAGACACGGGGACAGATGCGCATGAGATTTGCGTGTGTTTTAGATCTCATTAGCTACTGACCTATCGACCTTTTTAATTTACATTCCGGCAGAATTATCAAGAAATAAACTCCGAAAATTTTCAAAGAGTTATCACAGAGAAAAAAATTAGAAATGGAAATATATAGATATAATGGACAACACTCATTCCATAAAGTGTAAGCCAAACAACCTCACTATGTACTCTAATGACGATAATAGAAAATACTAACCACATGAAGTGGTAGGACAACGACCCAACTCCATTATGTTCTTTTATAAAGCTGAGACGTATGTGGAAGCATTCTTGGGTAGTGTAAATTCTAAATTGATAAAATCATGACCTTCGGGGGTAGGACAGGGCCACAATGGGGAATCAAAGTTTAACATAACAGAAATATATAGGAAAGTTTTTTTAAGAAATACAGTAGTAGCATATATTTTTTTATGATAATGTTGATTTTTTAAAGGTTATGTTTTAAGTTATTGAAAAATTGTATTGTTGTTTTGATTTTATGAGCACTGATAACATGTACTAACCATTGATCTGGGTGTCTTTAATAGTTGCTTTCCTTAAATTTATGAAATATATTCAGATCACAAATTGTATTAAAGTCATATGTTTGTTACTTCAACTCTCTATAAATATCCGACGTCTGCTGGTATTGCTTATAGTGTGGCCTAGATCATCAAAGTGCCACTGTTTACTTTCAGTGGTACATGTATATCTAAACTCTACAAAGGAATATAGAAGCAGATGGTATTTCATTTTTATTTATAAAGTTTTTGTAACCACATACAACAATGTCCGAGTTACTGCTTTAAAATTCATTGCAAGTTATTTGCAGCATAGTTGTCATGTACTGTGAACAACTCTCTCATATTGGTAAAAGATGAGAAGTATATAAACTTTCAGGCAGTTGGTTTGTCTGGAAAACTGAAATGGGTCAAAATAGCTTCGAAAATTGAACCAAGCAGCTTTAACGAAAAAAGGGATTAGTTCAGGTTTGGGGGTAAACTTATTTAAGTATTTTTTCTTGTTTTAATGTTGTTTTTTTTTAATCTTTTTGGAAAAAAGGAAGTAAGTTGGAGTGTGGAGCTCAGCAACCCTTCTTGCAGGCAAAGACCCTCAAGTGAATGTATTTTGGTTGATTAAAAAAATGCAATTTTTTTTCAGAAATTAATATCAGTCTCGTATGTAAATATCATAAATAAAATTTATGAACATGGCTAAACCATATATCATGCATCATTACGAATCTTCCATTTTTTGAAGAGTTTTCTGTGAAAAGGGGGGGGGGTGGTGGTAATAAAAGATGTATAACACTCTACTAAAAATAATTTTAAAAAAAACGTTTGAAAAATATCGGATATCTTCACGATTAATTTTTTCAAATAAATAATGTGTACTGGCATTTTTAAAAAAAAAACAATATATAGACCTAATATAAATAATTTTTGTTTTAAAGTTTTTTATTTTTATACATTTTATACATTGTATTTCTTTACATGTAATATGAATGATTAAATGACAAAACATTTTGGAAGGGAAGGAAACTGCCAGTGAGAATTTCACATTCTACCTAGATAGTTTTTTTATTCCTCTTGTCTAAATATTTTTCGTCCAGATTCCTTACCTGAGAAGGTATTTGAGAAAGTTCCCAATTTTTCCATTCCTCTGATGTATATTTCACTTTTATTTTCCCTAGCTGCAGTTTGGGCTTTAAGGCTTATTTTCTTATCAAAATTAAAATCATTATTCCAATTTTTGAACAAAATTCTACATACCCGCCTGAAAAAAATCCTTGATCTGTCCCACAGCCTAATACAGTACAATTAAAGTACTTAAAGTACTCATGGGAGTTGAACATGGTGTAAAATAAGATCTTTGAACGGGAGATTAAGTGAGTGAACAATATTATTTTTCACATAACGACAACTGTTTCAAATTTTTTTCTGTGTTACTTCGATCTTGATAAAGACAATCAGAGACATTGAATAGCAAAAATTAAAAAAACGCATGGCCCATAATGCTTGCCTGCCTATATTGGTCCTTTTTTTATACCCCTTGCTTGAAAAGCGGGTTGGTATTTATAAATCGGGATGTCCGTCCAGCTGTTTGCTACACTTTAGGTATACTCAACTCTTATCCGCAACTCTTCTTACACTATTGAATGAAATTTTCATAGAATCTTTATTACATATTGCCGTTGTGCAACTTCTATTACTTTTTCATCCGACACATATTTTGCGTTTCCCATTGCAAAACATGGACACTGCCCTTATATTCATACTAGAGGCGGTTGATCATTTACATAATTCACTGCTTACAGTACCTCTATTTCATCTTCAAATATGTAATATATTTTTCATTGGCACCTTTACCAATGTGTTATGAAAATTTCAGTTTTGCAGGAATAATTATGTATCAATGTTTGATAAAATGATGACAGACAGTGGTGAGGTTGTAATTCTTGGTGCTTTTAACATCGATGAACTTAAAAACACCAACTTAAAATCTACGATGGAAATAAACGGCTTACACATATACGTTTAATGCCGATAGGAATAATTCCAGAATCTAAGGAGAGGAATTTGTCGCTAACATAAATGCGATCCGTTAGGGTTTCGGAGTGTGCTTTAACTCGCGTTGGTGTGTTAATAACTTGGTGTATTATTTTTATATATACATTTTTTTAGAGATACATTGTCTCGGATTTGTAAAAACTTGTTTCAAGAAATTGTAAATGGTAAAGCAAGAGTTACAAAGTGTAAGAAAATAATCAACTCGGTGTTCAATTATTTGTCAAGTCAGTTGTAAAGAGTTACTTCCCTTTGTTTTTATAATTGTAAAGTTATATGTTATTTTATTTTTTATCTCTCTTATAAACCTGGCTCCACCATGTAAGATATGAATTTTTGTACACCAAATGGCAACAACTATATTTAGATTTGAAGAAAAATTCAGAAATTCCATATATACAAAAAATATCTGTGATTATCGTTACATTTTTTGTAAGCTTTTGTACAAAATGTATAAATATTTCTGAACTGATGGGGTTTTTCTATGTATTTATTTTTTTATGTTAGTTTATGTAGTAATGATGAAAGACTTCGATAATTTTTTTAGAAAATTATTTATGTAAAAAATAATTTTTTTTTTCATTTTTCTACATATTCCCTTATTTCTATCATTTTCATTTCATTAAAAAAGGTGGCAATCTTGTATGAAAATATTTTTTAAAAAATCATTTATGAACCCAGTTATAAAATATATTTCTATAAAGTCCTAAATTATCCTGATTTTCAGCTTTTAGAGCTCCCTTAAAGACACTTTCTTTAAAGTCATTGACAAACATGTTTACATCAAATATAGAGATATGAAACATGCAGACGAATATGCATTCCTATCCGACCTTGCTTCGACGAACTGGGATATCATTGGAAACCACTGAAGGAAAGGCGCATAGGGCGGATTCTGAGAAGTGGATCAATGACAACATATTGTCAGACATGCAACAAGGTGACTTTCTACATCGGAGAGCACTCAAATCTAAATCTGATGCCGACTGGAATGCTTACAAAGCGGCACGAAACCGAGTAGTGAACCAGATCAACGAATCAAAACGCGAATTTGTAAAGGATGTAATCGAGCAGGCACACGCTAAGTCCAAGAATATTTGGGATCGTATAAAGGAGTTTTTTTTCCCCTCGAAACACATTTAGATGTCGATGGTGAAACAATTACATGTCCTAAGGAAATCGCAAATAAATTCAATGACTTCTTTTTAAATATCGGACATAAATTTGCTTCTAATTTCGACAACTCTTTACCCCAACAAATGCCAGAAGCTTCATTTTCCATACATGGATGTGTAAAACTTAATGGGTTTGTGTATTCCAATTATACAAGTCGGCCTTTGAGGATCAGTGATTGGCTAATGCTGATCATGTGACCTTTAACAACACTTTGAAAGCAAGCGCAGCTAGGAGTTGCGAGGTTCCTTTTTGTCCAATAACCAGACAGAAGAAAAGGCATATTTCTGCGATATGGTTTATTGAGTGAATGGCCTTGTACTACTGAGGCTTACCACAATATTTTATCAATACTAGGTGGATTGCCTGACAATGGAGGCTTGCCACAATAAAGAGGTTAGTATTGTTTGACTAACCATCTAGAAGTCGAACATAAATGGAAGGCGACCTTCAATGGCTTGTCTGGCGACCTCTCTACATAGTGTAAGTCTCTGACATCAGTGGATGACTGTGCGCCCTAAATAAGGACAATTCAGTATCTTCTGATCACTGGGAGATTTGACTTAGCGTCGTGGCTGACACTACGAGCCTGAATAAGGCAATGTTGGTGTTGGTCCAGTGCCATTTGGTGATCCAGTAATTTTGTAAATTTATAAAAGCCCGACATTCAAGTGTGATCCCCCCCCCTAAGTAAGGGAAGGGTCCTATATTTGTATTTATCACATATTTTCACCTTTATCCCGTTGATATAGCTCATGTGATATCGTTTTCGTATCAACACTTTGTATTCCTACACCGCGCGACTTGATGTAAATAAACAGATACATGTGTATGATAGAGAGAATGACTTAATTTGTCAAATTTCACTTTATTTGATGTATTGTAACAAAATTTCATTCCTGAACTAAAAAATAAGCGCTGAAATATTTTCTTTCTTTTATATTTGTACGAACTATTTCATACAGCGTAATTTTATTTATTACGTTATTTGGTTCGAGGTAACCGAAAATGAACTTTGGATTAGAAATAACGAGTAAATACACATCAATAGTGAACAAAAATATGTGATAAAAAGAATCTCCCATGGTTTGTGATTTGATATGATTTTTATCCAACTCGTTGTGTGTTTTTCTATCCCCTCGCCAAGGCTCGGGGATAGAAAACACACAACTCGTTGGATAAAAATCATATCAAACCACAAACCATGGGAGATCCTATACATATTTGCAGGCTAATCATTTCATCTAATCAATTTTAAGAGGAAAATTATTTATTTTAAATACCAGTCTTTACCGAGCTCCTGGAATCAACCAGGTACGACCCCCCAAACACGTTACAGATGTATACACTTGATAAGTACATGTAAGTTTAATAAATGTAAATAAATTAGTAGATAAAATATATGTTGTTAAAGAGAATCTGTCCACAAGCGGAATCAAAATCTTTTCATGGTATTTCTTTTCTCTGCAGAATTGTAAAGGAGAAATGTGCACGTTTACACAGTTTGACAGTAATAAGGACGGCTTTATCAGCCTGGAAGAGTTTTTAGAGAAAGCAGGGGCCTACCGGTATAAAAAACTGTTCAAGATTGCTTTCCGATTGGTGGATACTAATGGTATTTAATGAAATTATAAACAATGACATTTGATCAGAAAACATGATAAATTCATTTTGTTATTTTGGTTGTTTGTACTTTTTTCCCGTTCCAGCTGACGGACGTATTTCGCAAGAAGAGTTCAAGAAGTTGAAGATCACACTTCCGTATTGCTGAAAAAAAAAACAATTTCGAAAAAATATTAGATTTGAATTATTATATGGATAATAAAGATAACACTATTTGAAATTGTTCTCTTCATGTTGATATATTTACATCCACTGAAATGTTCATGAAGATCCTATGAACTTATTATTGGACATTTTCAAATCAGGAATTTATATTCAAGAAAGAAAATTGGTGAATATTCATGACAATTTTTTTTCATGAATAATTCATGAAGAGTCATATTCATGAAGATTCATCATTTCAAGAATGTCCAATAACTAGTTCTAATTGTAACGGGGACCATTACAGATGTTCCCCAAACGCTCTCCAACTACCTTTTTGTGCAAATTTCCTTTGCAATTTTCAATGCCTGACTTTTTTCAATATGCTTAGTATCGCAGGATTTCATAAAAGAATTTTAAAAGCTACTATGATATCATTTTTTTGTCAATCAATTCATACTTCGCAAACGCACGTGCATGCACATGCAAGGTGATCATGACATGTTGTCTAAACCATTAACATATCTTTATATTCTAGAAATCAATAACAAGTCATAAAAATAAAAATTTTACCGTTTTTCAAACATATTGTTCATTTAACGCATTGCCTGTGCGCATGTGCATGCAAGCACGTCCTTGCATTCAATTTTGATAGCAATATCATGTAGGAATCCATAATACCTATTCATATTCTAAATTTAATCCCGTTTTGTTGAGAAACAAGTAAGATATAGGTATGTAAAGTTTCAGCCAATCAGATTGCAGCACACGTAGATATATGTGCTTTCATGATAATTCTTTTATACCATGCGGTAGATCTTCATAATATGTGACTAAGTTCAAAATTTCAAAGGATTATCACGTAAACCAAGAAAGATATTAAGACTTTAGTTTCAGCCAATCAGAGCGAATCGCACGTGCATGCGCGTAAGATCTTGCAATTTTGACCATGTCATCATGTCTATACTACTACTATATTCATGCATTGTGAGTTTCAAAAAATTCCATCAAGAAATAGGAAAGTTACGGCTTCATCCATTATCTTGGTAATTTCACACGTTGCACGTGCAAGCTCTTGCCAACACACGTGCATGTACGTGCTTTCATAAAAATTATTATATATCATGCTGTAGATCTTCATATTGTGAGACTAAGTTCAAAATTTCAAAGGATTACCGGTATGACGTAAAACAAGAAAGATATTGAGACTTTAGTTTCAGCCAATCAGAACAAAGCGCACGTGCATGCGCGTGAGATCTTGCTATTTTGACCATGTCAAAATGGATTGTCAGGATGCACTGTACAACTCAAGAATAACCGAATTCATGCAAAGACATCATTTTTAAAATAAAGAATTCATTACAATAAAGAAAATATCTGATCTCTTGGTTAAATAGTATTTCCAAGACGAGAATTTAACTTTTATGATACTGGTTAAAGAAATTATTTTGCAATAAAATCTTGAAAAGGTTTTTTTTTAACTTTGACAGATTACGAGTTATCTTAAAAAAAAAAAAACCTTCAAATGATGTATTTATATTAATTCTACAGAGCTTGAAAAATTGATTGGTAGTTTAAAAGATTATGTCCAAACAATAAATAATAAATATAGCTAGACAGACAGACGAGTCTTATGTATCCCAATCTTCACCTATGGAGATGAGATGCTATAAATTGGCAAATAATCACTATTGTTTTTATTTCACTTTGTTCGCGATTCGTCATTTTTCCGCGAAATTAAACCAACTAGTTTTCATTGGTTTCAAAATTTTTTATACGAATTAAAATTAAGTTCTTGCAGCGTGGTATTGCGATTGGTATTTTTTAAGAAATCATGAATTTTTACCACCGTGGAAATAAAACAGCTTTTTTTGCGGTCCAGTATATTGGTACATCCTCGAGAATTGTGCATATTTAAGCAAATGTATAGAAGGAATAGAATATATTTGTTAACAAAAAAATGTCTTTGGTTGTTATTGTCAGAAACTGCAGTTGTGTCAGGAAAAAAAACAGATCAAACAAAGGCATTTTATTGTCTTTATAATGAAAAAAAAGGAAATGACAACGAACACTAAAATCTTACAATTAGGGATGGCAATTTGTAACCGGTTAATCGGTCAGAACGATGCTAATAGGTTAGAAAATCCTTAATCGGTAAGTTGGAAAAAATAAAATGTATGTAAATTTTTATGTAGTTTTTATCAAATTCGTCATGTAGACAAAAAAAAAACGCTGCATAAATGTCGTTCAATGTTCAAAGATGATGTAGAGGTAATTATGTAATTATGGCTCTCCAGAACGAAATCGCGGGGCAATTGGTCTTTTTTTTTGTTGAATTACTGTTTTTAAATCATACCTGTTACTTCGACTGTCCTGTGATGTTAAATGATTTTAAAAAATCACCGTTAACCCTTTCATAAGTATGTCTATATAATAATTAGACAATTAGAAAAAATAAAGTAAGAGTTCAGATAAAGTTTTGATCATAGTGACAAAGCAGAATGAACTTCTTTATCTTCTTTGAAAATTATCCATTTTTGATTTCTCAGGCATAATTCTTTGTTTTTTGTAATTTTCTTCTCATCTATTGAAATTAAAATAAAATTTCATAATCAAGATTGATAAACAGAATATAGCTTCTAACGCATTTTATAGTCTTCTTCTGTATTTGAAAAAATGTCAAAATGTATATCTTGATACGACTAACCGGTTAATCGCTCGGAACATCTTGCGGTTAACCAATTAGCAATTTTGCAATTGATTGCCATCCCTACTAACATTACAATTCTACGAACGGGACATAAACACCCGTAAATTCTAAGAATAAGATCAGGTGTCAGGAGAAGGAAACATCCCCTGTTGATCAGTTGCACCCGATCCCTATGTATTGATCTGCAAGAAGGACCATTCTGTAGCCAAGTCTTAAAAAAGGTCGGCTAATAAAGTAGCACAATTAGACATTACTGTTTTCAAAGGGGCTCAAGAGTTCATTATACATTTGTCTTCAAAATGAATGGAGACATATTTTTTTTGGTCCTAATACATTGCCCCGAAATCATAATTCACCTCCCTGAGATAAGTATAGCGTTTACCTTAAAAATATATCTCAATTAAAACTTAAAAATCACAATCAATATATTTTATTCAATTATTCATACATATGGCGGAGAATATTTCTGACGCATAACACTAATTTACTAATCAACCTGCTAAAAATTTAATTTTATAATCAATATAAAAACATGGTATACTACGTAGTATTATCAGGTTTACCGGGGTCAATAAAAAAACTTTTAATGTAAAATATATGGAATAAACATTTGAACAATAATTGCAAAAAAATACATGTCATCTTTATGAATTATTTGTAAAGATCCTGATTAATCAATGTAAAGTCTCTTGTAACATGAGATTAAACCTTGCAAAATTATAATTATATTAAAAGATTGGTATAATTAAATACATGTACATTTTATACAGACGGTGACATGTTTGTAAAGATATTCATATGATTTTTAACAATGCTACTGGCGTTTATTACAGTAAAACAATTAGTTTTTGTTCCACGCATAAAAACCTTGTTTGAATTGATACTCTATGTAGTGTCGTAACATAAGTTAAATACAACTTGTTGTTAAGTCTAAATATTATTCCAATTCATTTTGGAAATTTTTTAATACGATTTTGAAACAAAAGTTGATCGTTCATTGTTTTTACTTTTTCAGAGTCAATTTCCACGTTGAATTCAAACTCTCAAGTACAATGTAGGACTTTTCCACAGCTGTTTTGACATTATACAGGAATCAAAAACAACCTACTTGGTGACCTACAATTCTATATGTTATTATGCTGGCCTCTCTAGGAACACATAAATATACCATGTCCTTGAGGTACATAAATATTTACATATCTCTGAGGACTAATACCATGATTACAAATCAATATCATATTCCATAGGAAATAACATAGTCAGGTCTTATTGGATATAGTCCCTTGTAAGTCCTTAAAGGGGAAATGCCTTCTATTCCTGTACACAGTGCCATAGTATGGCTTCACTAATTCTGCCACGTCATCCCTAATGAAGACCCCCTTACATCGACCCCGCCGCAGATCCTCTAGGTAACCCGTGTATCCTAGCTGTCGCATGAGAGAGTGCACGCTCCCCCAGTAATGGCGCTCTGTGATCCGCCTCAGGCAGACAAACTCGGGGTTGTTTCTACTAATGAGAGAGATCGTATCGATGTCGGCCTCATTTGAATTCTCGTCAAAATCTCTATCGGAAAAATCGATCTCCATAAAATCTGTTTCATCTGAACAAGAAAAAATGCATGGTTAATTATATTAGAAATTTTACCTTATTATTCAGTAGAATCTTAAAGACATACGAGAGTGCCAAAACACATTCATTTTCCCTATTTACTATGATAAGGTCAGCTGTAGTTCAAAAAGTAAATAAGACAGATCTAGAGTTGCTAACAGGTGCATTAGAACAATGCTCCATAACTAACCAGATAAAACCTCAGCAGCCATACATGTAGAAAGCAGCGGTAGTAAAAGAGAGGTGCATGTTATACAGATGTTATGTCTTTCTTTTGTAAGCTTTTTGTTTATTACTACAAGCTTAACATATGTTTAGGCTTTTCAAGCTTTTTGTTTTAAGGGCCTCCTAAAATGATACATATTTATGTGTCTGTATGCTTCTGCACTTTGGCATTAAGTATCACTCTGGAAGCATCATAAATAATTCATACGAAATATTTCCAAAGATTGTTTTCTTGTGGAAAGAATCTAGCTTTACAAATCGAACCTATTCGATGGCTTACCGAAGAAGGATATGGAAATAACGAACAGTATTCAATCTCAACGTCCATTAAACAAATATACAAAATAAGAGCAGAGCAAACACGGACCCCCGAAACATCAGAGGTGGGATCAGGTGCCATGGAGGAGTGAGCATCCCCTGCTGACCGGTCACACCCGCCGTGTGCTCGTTGTCATAATCAGGATATAACGGAAAAAATCCGTGGTCAATTCAGTGTATAAATAATGGACTAACAATAGGTATGAAAAACGTCAGTCAGCATTTCATTCAATGATAAATTGTATTTGCTGACAAGGTCATTGTATCGACCATAGAATTTACGAAATGATGACTTTAAACGAGACTGTTGATATTCTTGTTTCATCAACTTGCTTGACAATAATTTACCTCGTTTAAGAAATTGTTCATACGTAGAGCATGCTCTTGCGTATCGAATCAACTGAGATATAAATACTCCGTATGCAGGTGATGAAGGTATATTGCTGCATAAGTAAGGGAAGTTGACGATAGAAAAGTTAAAGTCATCACGTTTATCATATAGCTTGGTTGTTAGATTACCATTAGTGTCTTTTTCAAGTAAAATATCCAAGTATGAAGCAGAAGTGTCGGACTCTGTGGTATCTTTTATTTCAAGCTCACCAGGATATATCGTGTCGACGTAGGAATGGAAATTATCATAAATAATAGATGTTTAATTTGACTTTTGAAAAGTTTTGCAGATTTACAGATGTGTAGTCAATGCATTTACTGTTTCAGTGAAAAATTCCTTTGTATCAAAAAAAAATTTCAACTTATCTTTTATCATTGGAGGAAGACAAAAAATGTCTGTCTAATATATGTTTCTTTTTAAAGAATTGGAATCAAAATAAATAACTAGTATTTTTTCTCTTTTGTTTAAGAAGGGTGAACAAAAAGTTTGCAACCTGCCTTGTTTTTTCAGAATTCAAAATTGTAATACTCCAAAAGTACTGGTGTTTAAGTATGGAATAAATACATAAAACAGTAACAATTTAAAATATTGCCTGTACAACACAATTGAGTGTTCGTCATATGCAAAATTTTTTTAGCATATTTATTATTTATTGATAAAATAAAAATATGTTTCATGTAATACACTTTGTTTTCAATAAGGAAGAATTATAAATGAGCATATAACGGATGTGACCGGTCGGCTGGGGATGCTCACGCCTTCATGACACCTAGTCCCAGCTTGATGATTTAGGGATATTTTACCTATTTGCTTTGCTCCAAATATGTATTGTTTCCAAATACAAGATTTTTAAGCTAGTTTACTGTTCATTATTTCTTTATTTTAAACCTCCTTTTTAAGACACCATTTAAAAACATTCTTATGAATACTTTTATGATAATACCAAATCCAATAAAGATTGAAAGATGATTTTATTACGCTAACGCGGTTTAACATTTTACAATGTACATGTAACTATGTATGACACATTTTCAATTATCAATGGACTTTAATCCAAATAAATAGATAAATGAAATTTTAAGAAAAAAATAATTTAATAAAATTTTTTGCATATTTTGAATTTTACATTCCAGAGATAATATCTTCCCCAAATTCAAAAGGAATTTTGCTGTACCTAAAAAACCTTATTGTGTGCATTTTTACTTTGTTTTTTGGCAATTTGTATTTTTAAACTTTATTATTTAGTTTCCTTTGTATCCACATAGTAATCTGAAATGAAATTTATTTTAACATATCAACTATGATCAAATGGAAACTTTCAGTAATAAAAAATCGCATTCCTCAATTACATTTTCTTAATTATTTCAATAATTAACACTTTGATTAAATATTAACCAAATTAAAAACAATGTAGAAAAATAATCAACAGTTTGAAACGTAAATGATGTCGCAACATGTGTGATACCCAAGTCAAAGTGGAAGGCAGTTCTTTAGCAGTTTTTTAACCTTAACAGTTCAGTGCTTTAGACAGTTTACTAGCCTTCTTCTCTCCTTAGGCAGTTTTCCTTAGCAGTCCACAGTTTAAGCAGTACTTAGCCAGTTCATTAGCAGTAACTTAGCAGTTGCTTAGCAGTTTCCTTAGCAGTATCTAAACAGTCAATAGGAAGGTTAAGGAGAAATGCTTAAAAACTGCTTAATAACTGCTAAGGTGTTTCTTTTGTTTGCTCTACTTATATGGAAATGACTCTGAGTGACCTACATATAAATTTGAAAATTTATTAACTGCTTAAAAACTGCATGGTAAAAAGAATGCTATAAGCACTATTCTTGTCTACTTTTAAGAACATAATACCACCCATATACATGATATATGAATACAAATATGCATATAATTTTTGCTTCCGGCAGGGTAATTTATTGAAAAAATGACATCATATATGAGAATTTGACTTAGTATTGAGATTTAGATCTAAGGTATGAATTGTAAATGAGTCCTTTCATTAAGTCCATTTTCTTGCATAAACGTCAGTGGCATCTTTAGAGCTTGGGTAATTGATACAGTGGACTAATCTATGGATCCCTTTATCAGTAGCTTATAAATTTATTTGCAAATATTTTAATTTATATTAATTTAGTACTTATAATTAAAATATAAAAACTAGATTATACGTTTTATAATTTAATAGTTATCCAAATGAGAAGAGGGTATGCCTATTATATCACATTAGCCCACACACTTACCATATTTTCTGAAGCATACTTTAATTACTGCCAACAAATCTTTTAGCAATTTTCCTATATCACCAAATTCCAATATATTGTTTGATAAGATTTTTAAAATAATATGATCTCCCATCTCATGGAAATAAATTCAGATACACTTGTCACTAACTCACTATATAAATATTAAGTTCACATCCAGTCCAATGTGGTGATCACAGATAATATTGTATTTTCCAAAGCATATTTTACTTCTTCACTGTATAGGTATAAATATATATATAATATCCCAGACCATCACAAACATCTTCACAATTTGTAATTTTGAACTGATGTGGAAAAGGCGCACAAATCTTGACTGGCTTTCCTCATTGGATACAACCCTATAGTTTCAAGCAACCAAGGGGGACACAGCAGGTTGTTAATGTAACTAGACGGCTGGATTTGCAAGTTGATGGGATAAAGATTAGAAGCTCATATGCTCATGTTTTTTATAATATGAAGCCTCAATTTTTTACAAACTATTGTATCATTTCTAGTAAGATTTTTAGTATATTTTTTTTCTATTTAACTTTATTTTCTGTATAAGAACTCCTGCCTGGCCTCCATTTATTTGTGACGTTATCATCAGGAAGCATTAACAGTAACACATGGGCAGTAATGAAGGCTAGTGAAAGTTAGGAACACCAAGAGTGAAAAAGTGTTCTTATATTAGAAGTCGAAATGAATTAGTTGCACTTTTAGCAGTTTTTTAGCAGTTTTGAGAAACTGCTTGTTTGACTGTTTAAGTTTCTTCAATACTGAACTGCTTACACAAATTCTTAGCAGTTTTTAAGCAGTCTGTAAGCAGTTTTAAGGAATGCTAAGACTGAGACTGTTAAGAACTGCCTAAAAACTGCCAAAAAATTGCCAGACTACCTAATAACTGTTTATAAACTGCTAAAATAAGCAGTTCATTTTGACTTGGGATATAATAATAAAACGATGATTGCGTTCAAATACACGACCCTCTTCACGTAGCATAGAAACGTCAGATGATCGTTGATTTTTCACAGTTTATATAGGTGATGTTTGTTTACACGAGTTGTTGCACAAGCATATGAAGTGATGCGGTGTATAGTCAGAAAGAAATTAAACATAATTTGACAGCTAGAAAAGGGTAAATATAGAGCAGCATTCTTAAAAATATTTGTGATTTTACACGAATTCTAGCACTGATACAAACATAAGAATTTTAGACATGTATATCTTAAATACAACAATGTCCAACATGACCTTTAATAAACCAAGAGTGTGTCATTTACCTGTATAATCCACGTTGGCTCTTTGAAGTTTAATGCCCTGACAATTGACCCAGTTAACACATCGCTGTAAGAAAGAGGTCGATCGATTATCATCGTTGAAGATTATATATATTTACATTTATGTCTCTATTGACATGCATGTACCAGATAACAATGTTCGTTTACAAAGAAAGAGAATGTCAGGGCACTCTACCTATAAAAGACTTTTAATCCTTTCTTAACATGATTAATGAAATGAATTAAAATTATATTACATATAATTTATTGCTCTTAATTGTTGTCAATGTGTCAATGTGTATTACACCAAACATTCAAACACACAACTCACCAGGTTTGAATGTGTCTTCCCGGATAAAACACAAAAAGGTTGATACAGCCTTCTAACACCACACACCATCCACCGAAACATTGTTTACGTGTGTTCGTCTACAAACCTCCCAAAGCATTGATATTTTTAAGCACGGCTTACTGTGACGTCACAATCCAAGCGAGAGACCGTAGGGATATTCATCGTTTATTTTAGAAAATACTGGTTAATTTTCACTAAAACATCATTCCTAAGGTTTTTTATTAAATAAAAACTTGCATAGTTATCTTCACAAAAATAGTTTACCCCACTAAAAATTAGTTTTAATGAAAATATATTTCTAAAGTACACGTTTAAAATGACCTATTCAAAAGGCAATCAATCAATAATTAATGAAATATAACATTTTTATAATCAAAGTAAAAAAAATATAAATTTTATAAATATACATATATTTTTTATAATTTTGCTGCCGATAATCATGAACAGGAATTTGATATCTTAATTTAAACTGGATACATCTGTATTTATAATTTTATGCTGTTTGGAAAACATCTATTAACCATGTCACCTTTACAAAAACTGTAAAAACCTCTGATAGTCCCATGAGTAAAGTATATATTGATAATAACATAGTAAAACATAATATGATCCTGTAATATTTATAATAATTAATTATTGATTAATGGCATCCTTTACGCTCAAAAACATATTTAACATGAATGTTTTACAAAACAGAATACATCTGTTTTGCATGAAATGCGGCAGTTTCTTTTTCAATATGTTATAATAATTTGGTTTGTATGTTCCGGATACTCATACATAAAAATATGACATTAATAAACACAGTTTTGTTCTGTACAATGTTTCTGGAGAAGATTACATATTTCATAAAGAACATCTTGAACTGTTTAGTGTTTGTGTTTCTCTTTTTTATGTTTTCTCTCTAGAATATCTTTTCAATAACACCTCTCATACGTGTTGATCATAAACCTGTCATTAATGATTGTTATCGGACACATTCTGAAATTACAGTTTCCCTGTATTGTATGCAGCCCATTCCTCAGCCATCAACAAGCAAGAATGTGTTATTTTCCCGTCCTCTGACCGATACCTGGTTTAACCTTGATGTTTTTTTAATAGCGCTATTTTTTGCCATGAAGTATAGTTTTCGCCATTCTGAATCTTTTGCATGTACCTAACATTCCTCATTTTCTAACAATCGAAAGGTGTATTCATGCACATGTAGTGTGGGAATATGGAGATAACGAACAGTAGTCAAGCAAATTATACAAATTAGAAGAAGACTAAGGAAACACAAAGGATCCAAAAATAAACAAGGTTGGGTAGGGCTCCTTGTAGAACTAAGACTATACCCTACCGACCATTCTTCAATAAGGATATGGAAATAACGAACAGTATTCAATCTCAACGTCCATTAAACAAATATACAAAACAAGAGCAGAGCAAACACGGACCTCCGAAACATCAGAGGTGGGATCAGGTGCCATGGAGGAGTGAGCATCCCCTGCTGACCGGTCACACCCGCCGTGTGCTCATTGTCATAATCAGGAAATAACGGAAAAAATCCGTAGTCAATTCAGTGTATAAATAATGGACTAACAATTGGTATGAAAAACGTCAGTCAGCATTTCATTCAATGATAAATTGTATTTGCTGACAAGGTCATTGTATCGACCATAGAATTTACGAAATGATGACTTTAAACGAGACTGTTGATATTCTTGTTTCATCAACTTGCATGTCAATAATTTACCTCGTTTAATAAATTGTTCATACGTAGAGCATGCTCTTGCGTAACGAATCAACTGAGATATAAATACTCCGTATGCAGGTGATGAAGGTATATTGCTGCATAAGTAAGGGAAGTTGACGATAGAAAAGTTAAAGTCATCACGTTTATCATATAGCTTGGTTGTTAGATTACCATTTGTGTCTTTTTCAAGTAAAATATCCAAGTATGAAGCAGATGTGTTGGACTCTGTGGTATCTTTTATCTCAAGCTCACCAGGATATATCGTGTCGACGTAGGAATGGAAAATATCATTATTGATTGACAATACGTCGTCGATATATCTAAATGTCGAGTTGAAGGCCACAGCAAGTGTTTTTTTCTTTTCACGCAAAAGATTTTGCATAAATTCTGCTTCATATGAATATAAAAACAAGTCTGCTAATAACGGAGCGCAATTTGTACCCATGGGAATTCCAATAGATTGTTGGAATACCTGGTCTCCAAAAACCACATAGATATTGTCAATCAGAAACTCAAGCATCTTCTTGATGTCAACTTCAGAGTACTTATGTGTACAATCAGAATCTGTTTTAACAAAATAATTTTTCAAATGACCAATGACGAGGTAAGTAAACTTACGAGTTCCATTTTTGTTGAAGAAGCAGCTGTCAATGATATCAAAAAGCCTGGATTTTAATTTGTCGTGCGGAATTGTTGTGTATAAAGTTGAAAAGTCGTAAGTTTTTATGCTGTTGATTTTTGTAAAGTCTTGTGATTTCAAATTGTCCAAAAGTTCTTTAGAATTTTTAAGTATCCACATCTGATTTACACCACTTCTTGAATATATAGTTGTACAGTACTCTTGAAGTTTTTCCTTCACTACTGTCAATATTTTAGTGAGAAGTAACGAAAGAGGCTTGGTTGAACATATACTGGAACCTGCAATGTATCTTTGTTTGTAAGGATTCTTATGAAGTTTCGGAATCCAATATATATAAGGTAGTTCAAATTCATTTTGGCTCTGTGGAATATTAAAAGTATTCAAAACTGACAGGTGATTTTGAAGAATTTCTTCCTTAGAAAGAGTAGTATATGTATAAGTAGGATTACCACTCGTAGAATTAAATCCAAGTTCTTCTAAAATGCAATTAATATAATGAGCCTTACAAACGAAGACAATGTTGTTACCTGCTTTGTCGGCAGGAACCAGTACGTACTGATCGTGTAATCTATCTAATTCTTTTTTCACTATTGGTTTATTGAACACAGAAGGATAGATGGTTTTCATTTTGCCCCTCAATCTTTTAATACGTGACTTTAACATGGATCTGATACATTTAATCCATTCTGACAAGGTGTCAATGTCTTCTTTTTCATATCTAGCCCATCGTCTGGCGTAATTTTCAACAGAATCCATAATATTTATGAAATTCTGACGCCAGTTGAAGGATCGGGGTTCCCTATATTTAGGACCTTTTAAAATAAGTGATCTAAGGTCCTCATTACGAACTATATTTACGTCACCTGTAATAACGTGTCCAGCAGGACTATAGTTATAGGGCGAAGAAGAACATGAACACGAAAGGGGATTATTTTTCAGATAGTCGATATCCAGGCCATGTAAAGTATTTTTGTAATTGAAAAGTTTGGAAGCAATGGTCGATGTATATTTGTAGGAAATACAAGGCGTAGTCTTTAACTTGAAATATGGTGGAATATAAGATTGGACCCTTTTGTGATTAAGAATATTACTAATATTTACCGCGTCAATTCCTTTATTGGCATATTGAAGTTTAAGGAAAAGACGGATTGTTTTAGCTGCATTTTCTTCCGTGAAACGTGCGGGTTTAAAAAGCCTATGATGTGCAATATCCATAATCACAGAACCGAGCCTATATTCAGGTGTCGAGGAATCTAAATTTGGATGTTCCTTGGTCTTTTCAAGAAGACTATTTAAAAGTTTCAAAGGGACAGAGTAAAGTTTGGTTCGAATATGATGTAGACCTAATTGTTGATTTACATAAGGTAGTAATGAATCAAAAGAGACGTCGTGTATTGCAGGTTTATTGTACGAACGATGTCCATGACTACGCTTACGTCTCTGGGTATTGTTAAAAAGTCCCATCACATTTACATTATTACACTGTGGGCTTGTTAGATTTCCTACACTATCGACATTGTCATTACATCCATAGGGAAAGGCTGTCCCTAGTTTCCTAATCCAAACTTCTTCACGTTGTCTACGGAAATGTGTACTCAAAGATGGACTATTTGTGTGGTGATAAATCTTTTCCAGAATTCTAACTTTCATTGATAAAATAGAATGATCAGGTGAATTAAAATGTTTATATAAAAGCTGCTGACCACCATGATTTATTTGAAATCGATGACCTGATATTCTTTTGTTAAGCGATCCCTTGGTTTCACCGACATAAATAAGTCCACACAGATTACATTCTATTCCATAGACAACATTAGAAGATTTGCAGTTCAGATTTTCCCAAGTTTTGGTATAGAAGCTCTGTCCAGTAAGATTACTGGTGAAAGAAGTGTCAGTTATCAAAATGTCACAGGTTTTACAGTTTCGTACAGAACATTTTGAAACCGAAGACATTGGATCGCAAAAGGAATCATCCAATATATTTGTAATAGAAACTTTACACTCTTTCAATTTGGTATATGATGTATTGGTTTTATACCAAAACTGGGAATCTGAAGACTGCACATATGACATATGTTTAATATCCCTGAGGATAATCCGAGGGACACCAAATGAACTCCTTGAATCTGTGTCCCTTATAGACTCAAAGGAGTGACGCCTTTTTATACTGGGCGACGCGCCTGCCAGTATCATTTCGTTATTATTTGTACTCATGTATGAATAATTACCGAACGACAAGTATCCTCGGGGACAAATTGTCCACCAGCAGAGATACATGTTCGGTGGTTAAAATAAGGATATGGAAATAACGAACAGTATTCAATCTCAACGTCCATTAAACAAATATACAAAACAAGAGCAGAGCAAACACGGACCTCCGAAACATCAGAGGTGGGATCAGGTGCCATGGAGGAGTGAGCATCCCCTGCTGACCGGTCACACCCGCCGTGTGCTCATTGTCATAATCAGGAAATAACGGAAAAAATCCGTAGTCAATTCAGTGTATAAATAATGGACTAACAATTGGTATGAAAAACGTCAGTCAGCATTTCATTCAATGATAAATTGTATTTGCTGACAAGGTCATTGTATCGACCATAGAATTTACGAAATGATGACTTTAAACGAGACTGTTGATATTCTTGTTTCATCAACTTGCATATCTCGAAAGCCTTGGGTACTGAATCAATACATTGCCGTCTAAGGGCAACAAGTTGACTCATGACATCTGGCTTGCGATGATGACCTTTCCTACCCGT